TATTTTTTGCCATTTCCTTCAAAGCAGCCTGAACTTCTTTCATCACCATAGGCTCTTGCTCATATGTTGTTTCATGAAATTCTTCTGTGTCTGCCAATTCTTTTCAATACAGTGACTCAGTATATTCTTTCCATCTTCTTTTAATACTTCATGGATCATTTAATATTCTGCCTAAAGTCTTCTTGATTATAGCAACTGGAGGTTTGAATTTGTTCTTCAGTTCCTTGTAGGTCAACTCAAAAGAAACTCAACAAAGATGCCGAAGATCTAAAGTACACATTCAGCCAGCTTGATCTTGTGGATGTATTCTGAGTACTGCATCCATTTAAAATTCACTTCTAAAGTGCACAGGGGACATTTTCCATAATTGATTACATAATTAAGTCACAAAGCAAGCTTCAACAAATTAAAAAAACATTGAAATAGTACAAAGTATCTTCTCAGACCACAGAGTCATAAAACTTGAAATTAATCCCAAGAGGATAAACGTATAAAGTCATCAACCTGGAAGCGAAATAACACCCCACTAGAACACAATTGGGTTATAGAAGAAACAAAGGATAAAATAAGAAAGTTTCTCAAAACAAAAATAGAATCAAATATCTGGGATGAAGCTAAAGCAGTCCTCAGGAGCAACTCATAGCAATAGGCAAACATATAAACAATGAAGAAACAATATTAATAATCTAACTCATTGAGTGGAATTCTAAAAAAAATATAATAATCTAACTCAATACATCTATCAAATAGAAAAAGAACAATCTAATCCCATAGCCACTAGAAGAAAGGAAATGATAAGAACAAAATCTGAAATCAATGAGTTAAAAAAACAGAAAAACAATTGAAACCAACAAAATCAGGACCTGGTTTTTTAAAAGACTCAATAAAATTGACACACTTAAAAAAAAATGAAAAGATACAAATAATTCTATTAAGGAATGAGAAATTACTTCACAACAGAGCCAGAGGAAATTAAATCTATAATATTGTAATATTATGAAAATCTATTCTCTGATAAATTTGAATACTTAGAGGAAATGGACAAATTCCTTGAAACTCATGCCTTATCCAGATTAACATGGATAGATGTGAAAACTCTACTGGACCCATCACAAATTATGAACTTAAACAGGTCATAAAAATAATCTCTCACGAAAAATCCTGGACCAGATAGCTTCGTGGTTGAATTCTACCAAACCTTCAGAGAAGTTTTATCACCAATTCTACTTGAATTATTTAAAAAAACAGAAGAAGAAGGCACACTACCAGAGACTTTCTATTAAACAATCATAACCCTAATAGCAAAACCAGGCAAAGATATTAAAGGAAAGAAAAAGAAAATTACAGAACAATATCTCTCATTAGCATAGATGCAGAAGTCCTTAACAAAATCCTAGCCAAGAGAATCCAAAAGTACATAAAAAAAAGAATTCATTATAACCATGTGGAATTTATAACACGTATGCAAGAATGGTTCAACATAAGAAAAACAATGTAATTCACCACATTAAGAAAGCAAATAACAAGAACCATGTGATCTTAGCAATTGATGCAAAAAAGGCATTTGACAAAATTCAACACCTATTCCTGATTAAAACATTCAGCAAAATTA